GATTATTTGAATTGAAAAATTATTAAAAAAATTGATTCATTTGATAAATGAGTCACAGAATTATAAAAATTGATATATATATATATATATATATATATCATGTTAGAATTAACTAAAGTTAAATTAAAATAAATATAAAGGTATAATAATATAATTCAATTTTAAATATAAATTTATTTTTAACCTTTCTTCGTCGTTTTTATTTTGAAGAATCATTCGGCTATCTTTTATTTTCTATTAATGTTTAATAACATATCACGTTTTTGAAAAAAAAAAATATTATTTCCTAATATTTTTAAATATCAAGAACAAATGTAATAAATAATTTAAATTTAATATTAATTGCAAGAATAAGTGCTATATATTGTAATGTTAGAAAAAAAAATTAACTTTTTTTTATACTATAGTTGTGAATCACGTAAATTATATAATGTTAAGTTGAATAATTCATATAAAAAGTCTGGTGCATGGTGTTTGTATGCTTTCAGTTAATAGACTATGGAAATCGCATTATTTCGGCATACTAAGTGTCTAAGCTCCTTCTATTTTGTGTACAATATAAACTCGAATTCTTCCATTGAGTGCCAATTCTTTAGCCACGTATAAAGTCTCGATCATGTAACATTACTTACGTAGTTGATTCTTGCCATAATTTAGTGTATTTGATACATTTCAAGGTTCTTATAGCTCAATTTTCGAAGTATATTTAGATGTGATAAATCATAACCATCATGAGACGTGTTATTTTCCTCGAGTTAACTTATATACTATTATGTAAAATTGAATACAAACAAAATACCATACAATGATTTATTAAGATACAAACTATATGTATATGAAAAACTAAAAACAAATTTTAAATTTGAATAGATATTTATCTATTTATTTTATCTGTTATTGTATAATGTAAATACATACATACATAAATAATTAATAACTAAATTAGTAAAAAAGCTTAATTTTAATCCTGTGATCTTAAATTTTTAAATAAGTAAAATTGTTTTCAGATTTTATCAGTTCAAAATTATCTACGAAAACTAATAACATTAGTATAATTCAGAAATATTATTAAATTATCGGATCACACGATCAATCCATATTTCGATAATATATTGTTTAAAATATATTTCAAGATAGACAGGATACTGGAAATAGTCAATACATACTTTGTTTTTTGTACTTTTAAGTTTTATGTGAAAAAGTTATRACAACAAGTAAAATATTTTATGATGTTATAGGATAAACTTAAAAAATGGGTTAAATAGTATGGCCACAACATAGTTTTTGGGATTCTTATATATTTTATTAATTACTGTACATCAATTAAGAACATAATTTATATAACACTTGTACTTAAATAGATTGATTATCTATTGGCTCAATTGGTCTTGAGAGTATTATAAAATTAGCCTAAAGTATTGACATTCGCTGTTAATAACAACTATCACCCCTCCATTTAATAACCTCACGTTAAATTGTTTTACTCTGATTTAATTCAATTTTATTTTTCATGATCTCACAGTGATTAAGAGGTATAGAATTTTGGAATCTCTTACTTAGAATATTAAGATCATCAATAAATTTATATATTATTTTCTTTTTTTTTTTTTAGCATTTCTTACATAATAATATTATAATAAATTGAATTATCGAATTTTGTGTACCTACAGTGATTACTTGATTATCTCATCCAGTTTGTGCACATGCCAGCCGTATGATAGCGTTATGGTGACCCCCGGTATTGGAGTGGAGCAAGGGCAAAGGGTGAAAGATTTAAGTTTCTGTGGCGATGGTGGTCGCCAAGGGAGCACACATAAGCCATCCGATGAGAATAGGTAATTTTCGTGGTAAGGGTTCGTGCACGCACGGTTGAATTTCTGTCTTATTATATATCTTATCCGACGCAGCGCTCCAATACGTGTGACAAATATATAAAAATAAATTTAATATATAAGATAAAGCAAAAAGGCCTGTTACAGTTCAGTGTCGATCCTTAACCGAATTATCTAACCTKTGGACGACAATGTCATTACATCAAACTTTTAAAATATATACTGGTGTAGTGGTGTAGGTATACGGTTTTATCGAAAATGTTTGGGATTACCTGTCGGAAGCCATTGGTATTACACTAATGCATTTTTGTTTTCGTATCACAGTTTCAATGGCATTAAATTGGATTATAAACATAGATTGGATTCTAAAAGGTAATATATTTTATTAATTTTTTAACAATTTCATAAAATAAAATTATCACAACAATTTGGTAAATAATATAATAATTATATATAAACATTAAGCACTAATTGTATTTTCCATACTCAGTTCAACGATGCACTCTCTTTGTATAGAGAATATCTCAGTTGGTGTTCCCCAAGTTAGTATACATTTTACTATAAAGTTCTGTAAAAAAATGTTGCAATGACCCCAAATACAATAGTTTCTGATTACTTAGACGAAAATAATATTCATCAATTCTGATCCTGGTACAGCTTCACTTTCCAATATTTACAAGATTTCTACTTCCTAAAATGTTACGTTAGATAAATTATCGAACGCCCTACAAAAACCATCCATGATGAAGCTAAAATATTTTACAAACATTTTTATGAGGTTTCAATCTCTCATCCTAATCCACTTGTCGAAAATCTCACAGTCCCTACAATTCCCGGTTAATCCTGCAAGATGTCTTAGACATAAATTGTGTTATGATTAGCAAGATGCATAATATTATAATACTAATTAGTGACTAATTAGTAATTACCATATTTAAATATAAATTRAATATTATATATAAATAATATACTCAAGTAAAAAATACTTCGATCTATGAGAGTATTAATAATAAGTGATCTATTCTATTACTTAATATTTGTTAACTTATTAATATAATATTTATGGTCTTTTTCCCTGTGTTTGATGTTTCTTGTCTGTGTCCCTTGTGATAATTGTGACTTTAGGTGTAGACTTGAGCATATTTTTTCCATTTCTATTTAACTAAATTGTTAAAAAGTCTGTTCTTGTTGAAAATATATATATAGACCAACAAACTCCTTTGAATTCCTTTTTGTGTCTTAAACTTTTAAACATGTTCGAATATAAGTTATAAGCTTTATGCGTATTAAGATATTAAACTAATTATCTTCAGGGCTTAATAAAATATATGTACGATTGATTTTATTGAAAACTTTGGTTGGTAGTTAATATAACCGCTATATTTCCTGTGTTTGTCTTACGTAAGTGGGAAATTCCAGATACATTTAAGATGAAATACATTGAAAGTGATATAGACAATTGTATAAATCCCTTTTACGGTTCTCTTTAACGTTGTATATTTAAGTCAGAGATATTAACTCGGAAGATTTACATTATCGTTGACGTATATTGAATTGTGAGGTTATATAAACATATAATATAAATAATAATAATACATATCGATATATTCAGATTTATGTTTATAGTTATTGAAATTAAATGTTTTACAATGGTTTATTAATGCAGTTCTCGATATTAATCAACTACATATTTTTATATTATTTAAAATATTATACCATATAGTGTATGGTTATCTCAAAAGTAATACAATTATAAAGATACGTACTATATGTATGTAATATACTAATATGCAATATATAACGACAAAACCCATATAGTAAATTATATACATAATACGTAAAGTTTGAACTTTTAAATTAAAAACTTTAAATTATCGATCGAAACTTTATGAAATGAAATATTGGAATTGTATAAGATAGGTATTCTTGTTACAAAGTTTGACGTAAATGTCACAACAACAATTTTAAATACTTAATAGAAATTAATGTAATAATATTTTAAAAAGGTAAGTTTAATTATATTGATTATTTATTCAATCATTCTTCTTTAAAATACGTTATACTATTGGCAAATATGTTTTACTTAATTTAAATAGATAAGTTTTATTGTAAAATGTATCTTCGGACATCGATATTTATTTAATCATGTGTAACTGTGTAAGTATACCAATATAATACTATTTGGTTACACACCGTCTATATAAATAATATGTCCATGAGTGTAGTATAATATGATATCTACAATGTATAATATGCGTAATGCATCATTAAACATCTACATTGTTTTGACCTTTAATCAGTGACGGCAAGTGATTTTTTTATTTATACCTAACTTATGTTTGTTACGGGAGCAAACTTTGGATAAAAACCACGTGAAAATGTATTATTATGGTAGATCATAATTTTTTTTAGTATTAGATTAAAAAAGACACTGTTTATCGTTTTTTTTAAATGCGCATACACTATAACGATTAAAAATAAAAATTGATGATTCATACATAGGTTCGTACAATCGACGAGAGGTGAATATTTAAAACACACGTGCCTTTTAATATTTATAGTTAACAATTGTTAATGCCGAAATAACACGATTATTTTGTTTTAATGAATTTAATGARTTATCGAATTATAATTAGTTAAAACTATAGGCTACGAATATTAGTATTTCCCTCCGTGTTAAGCCTATGCGTGAACTCGGACGTTCAGTCATTATTTATCCATCGATAAATATAGGTATTTTTTTTTTTTATAAAATATTGGTATAAAAATTATTCAACTTAGTAAATACAGAATTATGTTTTATATAGTAATATTGAATATTATTTATTTTATTTGGAAATATCTTGTTGAAAATTGGAAATATCTTGTTGAAAATTGGAAATATTTCTAAAACTGTAACAGAGTTTATAACTAATCATAAATTATTAATATAGGTACCTATAGATTATACGCACACATTGCATATTATATCATAGCATGGGTGGTACTTTATTACTATCACTAATAGTTTGGTTCAGTGATTACTATTGGGATATCGGATATCGGATATCAATTGTGAATTTAATCATGTTATTACTCATTATACTAACAAACATTAATAACATTATGCATTTGTTGTTGTGAATACCTTGTATTTCACACTACAGTTTCTCGTAAGCTTACGAAATAAAATAACTTGCGATTAAAAGTATGAAAATTGTCAGTTTTTGAATTAAAATTAAAACTATTTGAGTTAATTAAAGGTTTAAAGTATTTCAGTATTACAATAATTAGCAAATAAGTGTATCCTCTAATAAGAATTTCGGAATTTTGGAATTTTTTATTTTGTTTACCCAAAATAAACTAAATGTGTGGATAATGAAGTAGAATCGTGATGAATTAGTAAGTATGAAATAAACTGTATAATCGTATTTCTCAGTGATTATTATTATAATTATTACCTATTTGTAGTTTTTTTACATGATATGATTCGCTATATTGGCCATAACTTACATCTTGTTATTGAATATTGAKCATGCAGGGGCTCTAGTTTTAATTTTCTATATTATGACGTAATACCACATAATCAATCATATTTATTAATATTAATCATGCTTAAAAAGTTGTACTTTTGATGAACAATTAGGTATAGTATACAATATATAAAAATTATTTATTGATATAGTATATTATAACAACAAATTTTTTCAGACTATTTTTTATTTGTTAAGCATCAACTGCACAGGCTTTTCAGACTATTATCTTAGAGTTTAGACACACATATTGTCTATTCATATGATAGAAGTTAAATATTTAAATAAATATAAGAAAATCTCACTCTGCAAACGTGCTATATAGTAAATTCCCGGTTTCTAAGTGTATTTTAATATTATACAACGCTATAAATTACAACTCCATCACCCAATTTAATAACATATAAAGTTTTTTGTAGGTACTTACTTTTAGGCTTCTAAACTTAAGTTCAGAACGCTTTATTAACCCGTTGTGTCCGTCGATTTGTTARTTAGTTAAATTATATGTAACATTATATCCAGTCCTGTAAAGTATTTGAGTAAAAGTATTCAAGTACTTTTTTAAGTATTGAACAACTTTTAAAATACTTTCAGCATAAAGTATTTTGAAGACTACCAGCTCTGGTTATATTATATAATACTATATTATAGTTAAGATTAGAAGCTCAGAGAAATTATGCAAACCRTGGTCCAAACCATACGAAGATGTACAGGAGGAACGAGGTGATCACCTGCGAATAGGCCACACCTATCTGCATGACACATGGCTATCTCATGATCAAAGAAGACCCACCCTTATGTCCTACTTGTGGAACACTCATCACGGTCAAGTACATACCCTTAAAATGCCACCAGTTCAATAAAATAGGAACCTACGCATCAAACAGAAACTACCGGATATCATATAATATATATGAGATACTCGTTCCCACTCCGGAAACGTTACGAAAATTAACGAATTTTATCAACGAAATCAAACTCTGCCATTTAATTTAGTAATATTACCCGTGTAAACATGTAAACATGTAAAAATATAATAATAATTAAGTAATTCAATATAATTGAATGCAGTATAATGCAATGTAATGAAAATTCTACCTATTGTTTTTAATGAAAAAAAAATATATATATATATAAAACGCAGACTTTAATTAGTCTCGAATTTATTTTGATACTTTAAAACAATTATTTATTTATTTTGATATATATATATATTTAAAATTGTTTATATTYATTTTTTGATTTTAATATTAGCATTTATTATTCAAAACAAAACATCATAAATATACTTAACTAATAACTATTAATATAAATATTTTAATTGGTAGTAGGTACTATAATAAAACGGTTGAACAAATCAATAGTTTAATATTACGGTTCTATTCGACGTAATTTCATACTAGCCAGTATTAAAAATATAAAAATATGAGTAGTACCTACTTAATATAGATTCATATAAGCTTTCAGATCCCGCGGCATCGTCGGTTAAAACAGAAAAAAAAAAAAAAAAAAAAAAAAAAAAAGATTCATATAAGCTAATATTAAAACGTAGGTACAAAATTCTAAATGTTATTAAATTGTGTAAGAATTTTAGCATATTGCGTTTAATTTAGCATGCTCTTAGAATGATATTTCCTTACTTGTTTAATATTGGCTATGTATTATGAACTACTTGTATGCTTATATTTATAATACTGGCTAGCTAGTATGCATTTACTTGAATAAATCCGTTATTTAAATATTTATTAATTTTTTGTCCAAATGTTGGATCTAAATATTATATGATGTTAATGATGTTTTTTTCCTTCTATTATTAAATGACGTAAATAGTTGTTGACACTGTGTATTTATTAACAACTTACATTTAAGAAAATGAACAATGTTTGTAAATGTATAATTTATTTAATAGGTTAAATTAAATAAATAAATAAAATATTTTTTACACTAATGAGGGAGCTTAACGAGTCACTTAAAATAATATATTTTTCATTTTCATTTTTGTTAATGAACTTGATGGTCAGCAGTATGGCTACTGCTTCGGCTGTATAAATAGAACATGTTGGAGGTAATTTGAAATTTAAATGATGTTTGTAGATTTTCTTTTACTAAGGCTATTCCTACCCCTTCATCATTTTTGGAGGCATCAGTAAATATTTTTTGGAATTCATTTTGATGTCCTGCAATAGTACTATTTAAAGTATTWTTGTATATGTTTTTTGGTGTGTGTTCCTTGGGCAGTGAGTTTGATCTGTGTTTATGTTGTATGTGCTTGTCCACGGGTGGCTTATTATTTTTCATTTTTTTATTATTTGAGATATTTTGAAGTAATCTTGATTATTTTGAAGTTCTAGTGTTATTTTGTTTTCTGAAGCTGGGTCATTTGATCATCTAGATAACCTCGCTCCATATAGAAGTGCCAATTCAGTTCTTTTTAGATMCGGTGTTGCCGTGTTTGGTTCTCCGGCTATGTTGTAAATGTTTTTGATTGGGCTACTTTTAAAGGCCCCTATAGCCATTCGCATTCCTATGTTRTGATTCGAGTCTATGCATTTTGTTTGTTTTGGTCGTATTTGGTTTAGAAGGGGTAGTTTCGTTTGAGATAGTGCCTTGATAGGTAGATTTAGRGGAAGGCGAGTCGACAGTTTTATTTGATGAAGTTRAAGTGAGCGCTTGTCTTTTTTTCGTATCAGTTGTAATGGGAGTCAATACTATGTTATCTTCCGTTATCTGTTTGATATGCGAGAAAAGAATTTGACATGTTTTGGTGGTATTAATTTGCTGATGGCAATGATATATTCAATCTGAGGTATATTGTTTATGGAATCAAAAACTACTGCTTGTTCTTTTTTAGGTAAGGTGGCGTTGAGAGTGGTTCAGTAAAAGATTTTTTGCTTGTGATATATTTTTCAGAATCAATGTTGATATTTTGATGTGATGGATATTTATCATTGAGCACACTCTGTATACTGTTGGTCTTGTCGGTGGAATCATGATTGTAGATATTTGAATTGATGTTTTCAATTGAATCATTGTTGGCTTCTTTATCGGCGTAATGTGCAGGTGGTGGTGGCTCATTAGTATTGTTATCTGTTGTATTGACAGTATGCACAGTATTGGAAATTATGGTATAAGGTTTATTATTATGTGTTGTTTTAGATGATTTGATTAGTTTGTGTTTCAGACTTTTAGAATTTGTCGGTAAATCACCCATTTTTGGGTTAGGAATATTAATACGGGTTGGGTATGAGTGTCAGAAAATCTACTGAATGATAAATATTCATATTACCTGGATTAACACGTAGTTTGACTGTTTTGCTTCGAAAKCTATAAATACGAGAGCGCGATTACGACAGACGTGTTGCTCGGTCGAAAGTGAACACGTAACTGTATTATTATTATTAATTAGCTTATTTAGAATGTTTTTGAAGAGGCTACTTTAAAACGAATAATTTTTTCTCTAAATATACACTAAATTATTTATTATACCTACCAACTACCATTGTTCATTAACGATTTTTTAAAGAGAATTAATTAAGCACTAGTTCTCTTATTTCATATCATATTTTAATTGTTTTAGAATTACATCCTTTTCAATTTGAATGGTTATATAATTTGCAGTTTTCAAGAGTAAGGTATTATTTAAATATCAAATATTCCAAAAGTATTGTCTTGAGTCATACAAAAACCATTATTTTTAATGAAAATGTTTTCAAAGTATTCATAAAGGTTTATTTTTTAATTTTTTTGACCGGGTCTTAATTTCTATCAAAGCAAAAATAAGTGTGTGTTATCMTTAAAAAAAAATATAATTTATTTTATTTTAAGTATTCATAATATTATGTGCTTTAATACTAAAATAGTTTATATATTTATATTCTTATTCAGATAAGCAAAATATGTATGTTAAAATTGTTTTGTTTTTTTAAAATTAAAAGTTTTTATTTTTACTATGGATACGAGTATGTAAATAACATATTTATAATTTCAAAATAATCATGAAAAAAGACATTTCATTATTATTATTTAAACTTGAGGTTATTCTTTACAATAATATAATAATATATTAATTTGCTTATTAACTTTATTAAAGTATTCTATCAACGACCAAAATCATAGAACAATTAATACATTTAAATATCTGTTTAGGAACAAAATATATCATTAGATAAATTTACCTACCATACGATAATGGTTGCATTTTTTTTTTTTTAATAGCACTACGGGCGTTTATTTTGTTGTGGTTAAAATACATTGGTTGTCCAAAATGTCACTATCCATTTACAAATAATTTTCAATAAAACAAGTGACAAAAAAGTTATTGTTTGGGACATACGCCATATGGCACTCTACCTGTATATGTCAAAACAACTTTATTAAAAGTAATATAAACTTACTCATGAGCAACAATTGATTTTTTACAATTTCTCATGAGTTTTTGTGAGTGTAGAACACACGTTTTTGACTCTCACCCCTGTTATTGGTTTATATTCAAACTTTACGCGTTGAACTAAACTAAATTGGAACGTAATTTCAAAATGCATCAAACGTATTAAAACTAAATCAGTAGTTTAACCAGATAGTATAAGTTGCTCTGAAGTTTGGGTGATTTGTTTATACTTATATATTGTATGTCGAGCACAGCATATCCTATGTTCTTTTTGTARTCCATTGATTTGATTTTAATTACATTTTTAACTGACTAACTATTATGTAGATTTACTTCAAATATTGCATACAGTTGTTTTTGACAATGTTTTATATAATAAAGAATGCACATGGACACTGAGTACCCCGATGTACATCGGTTAAATCTGCATATTAAGGCGTATACATCGGCAGTGCTAATATGTTTCATATATTTAACACCTG